CTTCAAAGTATCTGCAGATGGGGTGTAGGCCTCGCCTGGAAACTGCTTGAACAGGCGCAAAAACTCCTGGAGCTTGCAACCTGCAGGCATCACATTTCAACTTGCAGTAAGCATTGTGGCTTGCTATCAACTAGGCACCAAAAACAGCATGCTTAGAAACAGTGAGTAATGCTGGTAAACACTGGTAACACTGGCCAATGCTGGTAAAAACGCACCCGAGAGGTTCGCCGCGAGGAAGGTCTCCACCTCTGAAGACAAACTTTTCTCAGGTGGCTTTTCACTATTTGCCTCTGCATACTTGTCTAGGTGGTCAAGGTATGAGACGCCCATCTCGAACGTGCCAATTGATGGCTCGTCAAGAGGAACACTCTGCCTGCATTCCACATTCACCACCAGTACTGGCTCATTGTCTGTGAATAATTTATCATTGTTGGCGACGTCTCCACCGGCAATGCAGCAGCCAGGCAGCGTTGACTCGATAACACCCTTGCAGCCATAGGGGTTGCGAAGGAGATGCAGGCGCAGCTCCTTGAACTCTCGTCCACAGTGAGGGCACCTCTGGGTGGACATATTGATGACCAGTCGCGGCAGGTGAGAATGCTCAGTGAAAGTCTGGCAGTTGACCAGGGCCTCTCCCTATGTGATAACCAGTGAAGTAATTGCGACACCTGTGTCACTATCTAATTATAGGAAATTAGAAAAATAGATTTGCTGTAACGTCCTCCAGGAATGCGCAGAATGTCTCGCCGAGGCCTGGGCACTGCTTCACTAGCTGTGGCTGCACTACATAAACAAGTTCCGCTGCCAGCTCAGCATCAAAAGCAATACCATTTTTCGTGATAAACACTGCCTGCTCTTCAAAAGCCGACCAATTTTCATCGAGAAGGTTCAAAATAAAAGTGGAGTCCATAATTTTAAATTAAGCAGATAAACCGAGGCCTGATGGGCAATGCTGACAACCTTCCCTGATAGACGAATCTTCTTCAATTTCAATCTGCCGTACTCGCGTCCCTCGTAAGGGACGCGACTACGACACAGCTGCTCAAGAACACCGACAAAAATGATAAAAGCTCTGCGGTTGCTCATAAGCTATCATAGAATTTCGTAAGAAGGTCAAGCCCGTGAGTCAACGCGGCATAGCAGAATGTATGACCGGTCCTTACATAGCCAAACACGCAAAAGGCAACGACTTGAACGCCGAACAAACACCAAAACAGCAAGATAAGCCTGAAAGTTTTCCTGATAAAGGCGTTTGGGATGGCGGTGCTGTTGTCGGTAATGCATCGGCAATGGTGTTGCTGCCAGCGGCGACCGATGACACGGGCGCCATTACCCCTGCCTTCCATGGCGGTTGTGATCAGCATAAGCGCAAGCTGTCACCCAATCAGCTCGACAACAATGAATGCGGCGAGGCGCCCAACCCGAGCGCTCGCAGTGCCAAGCGGGCTCAGACACAGCACATTGATTT